CGCTTTCTCTGTTTTCTATACCACTATACCTCCATGGGAGTCACACAAATATATGTTGAACTAATAAATGACTTTCTTCTGATTAGTAGAAGTTAAAATGTTTGTGTGTGTTGTGCATATATGGTGTGTGTGTATCATCTGCTTTTCTAATTCCTCCAGCGGAACTGACAGCTGCTGAGACTCGTACAGGAGTGGGGAGTAACGTTCTTTGACCTTTAAAAGCACAAAGACAAAGATTCTGTTAAAAGCCATGAGGCGCCACCAGCCAAGGGCTCGGGTCGTGGCTCTCAGGATCATTTTCTCTAGCGATGTGGTCATTTTGTGCTCACAGATCGCCACAGGCATTTGTTTCCTGGTATTTCCTATGCATCCTTCAATTTTTATATATAAGACAATATTACTAAACCAGTGACACTCGTAAATGCCATGGAGTTTTCTCGTGAAAATGTCTCTCAATCGCCCAGGCAAAAAATAGCATAAGTACTCTTAGAGTAAGGGCACATCAAATAAATGATCAAAAAAGGGGGCATTTTGGAATTCTTTCTGATTTAAATATCTGATCCCTTCCTCTTCTTTCCTCCTCCTCCACTTCTCCCCCTTTTGTTTAATCCTATTTCATCGGTCCCCTCTCCCCCTGGAGAGGCTTATCTTTCGATTAAAATACAGCTACTAGTGCTTCTAAGTCAACAGAGGGAATAGCTGGAATCAGCCCCAGAGTTTCATTTTTAAAACTCATGGCAGAGTTACTAGATGACAAAGTTACTAAATCACAAAGAGAAACAAAAGCATGATTTGTTAAGTAGTAAAGGATGTGCCCTCGGTGACAGAGGAGGGAGGGCGCGCAGGAGGCAGAGTTGGTCCCGGAGGGTAACTTGCATAAAGTATTCCCCCACCTTGGTCAGCTGCTCTTTGAGCCCAGACATGGTCGCAAACATTTCCTTAGCTTCCTCTTGGGAGCTCTCTTTGGTAACGAGGTGCGCTGTCTGTGTGAGGATCTTGTACTGAGCATCCATCACAGGTATCCTCTGCTCAATGTCCTGCAGGAATCAGTGAACAGCGAAGTCAGCACCTTTTCATTTCAGGATTCTGTAGAAGGCTGGGCAAAAGTCAGTATGTTCTAGGGAACATTCTATACTTATACTCATAAACCTTTGGAGATTCCAGTTACTGCTTTCCTTCATTACTAATATATTATATGTTGGTAATATCATATAGCTAAGTAAAAGCTTAAAAAAAAAAAAAACTAAACTGATGAACAAAAACAGATCCAGAGAAAAATAAAAACACTAAGCAGAAATCCTTAGTTGACATATGCTGAAGTGATCTTCACACTTTCAACATATGTGCTAATGTAGTGTGTAAACATTATATCAGGTAAATGTATGTGAACACTTTGGGGCAATTGTTCTAAGTTTAGAAATTAAATTTATTTTTTTTAAAAAAATAACACATTGTCATTGCAGAAAATGTATTAAATAGAGATAAATTAGGATAACGGAAATTTAAGTTCAAGTCCCACATAGTGATCACCAGAGCCATCAACCCAACACTACATGATTAATGTTGCTTCCTGTGTGTGTTTACACTCATTTTTAATTTTTACCAAAAAAAAAATTGATGCTATTTTTTACTTTTCTCACTTAATAGTGTATTGGAAAAGTTTTTCATGTCATTAAATATCCTTCCATTACTTCATTTTGAGGGCTGTGGGGTATTCAAACTACTTAAATAGCACAATCCATTTTATAACGTTACTGCTGGAGATTTTTATACAGAGGTGTCATCTGCAGACTCCTATTTTCCTCTAGCGCTTTATAATTTGGTTGAAGAAAAAATAATCTCCTACTTAAAAAATTATTTTGAAGTTACTTTATGGCCCAAATACACCTTTAAAAATTCAAATAGTTTTTAAAAAACACAATTTAAAAAAAAATTTTGGAGGTACTAATGAAGATACACACACATCAAAAAAGACACAGGAAAAGCTTTACAATGATTTGAGCAACTTCACTGATCTTGATTTTCACAGTAGACAAGGTTTTTCACCTAATGGTCCAGAGAGCCCCCTCACCTCCAGGTCTTGAATTAATAACTTGACGTTAACAAAAGAGACTTCCAAGGGTTCAGAAAGCTTCCTGTGGGCTGCAGTTGCAAAGTCAGACAGGGCAGTGACACAGTCTGTGTATTCCCTCTTCATCCTGTCCACCTCATCAGCCCGCGCATACTGTTAAGGAAAGGGAGGGGACGTCACTGACAATCATGAAGCCGGGATTGGACGTCTGTGACCTTCACTTCCAAGTACTCTCTGCAACCCTTCCATGGTAAGAAAGACTCTCATTCCTGACTCTTATGTTAGATACACTTGAAGCCCAATGACCGTGAAAATTTTAAAAAAAAAGAAAGAAAAGAAAAGGAAGTAGCACAGAAGTGAAGAATTATAATTTGAAACATGAATCATTCCATATGCATAGGTCCCATATGGCAGTATAATCATTACTCAAACTCTACATTTCTGTTATGTCCCTCTGTTATTCAGGGGAACGAATAAAGGACCAATATAACAGATCTAGACACATCTGGACTCGGCTTTAATAAGCCTACGTTAATAGGGACTAACAAAATAGTCTCTAAACAGACTGTTTAATGCAACATTTATAACACATGCATGTTTCAGGCATCTATAGGTTGGAAAGACATACTTGCTTGACTTCCATGAACAACTCCCTCCAGCGCCCATTGAGCAATAATAACTGCTGTTTAAGGTCACGGGAAACCACCTCATCACAGGTTTCAATGAGAAAATTGCCAGCATCGTTCATGGCAGAGTGTTGCTGTATCCAATGAGGCAAATTTCGAAAAAAGTCCTAGACAATAAACAATGCATCCTACTGTAAACCATACGCCAAATTTAATAAAGAATATGATAATGACCAAACGAAGAGAAATATCTTTGTTTGAAAATTTATACATTTTAAGGTAAATCCTAACTCTCAAAATGCCAATATTTAATAAAGAGTTTCAAAAGTGTGAACTAGAAATGCTGACTGTATTTCTATAAAAAACATCTATGCCATATCTTTTGCTGAAGACAAAACAAAATGTGACCATTTCTGTTATTCCTATTTTTCAGATGAAAAGTGGGATTTCTGTGAGCATAAAGGACTTATACATTGTCTACCAGTGAGTAAATGTCAGTGTCGGAGTCATATAAAAGATACTATTGCCCTAGCCGGTTTCTCTCAGTGGAAAGCGTTTCGGCCTTTGGACTAAAGGGTGCTGGGTTCGATTCTAGTCAAGGGCATGTACCTAGGTTGCAGGCTTGACCCCTGGCCCTGGTTGGGGCACATGAGGGGCGGAAACCAATTGATGTGTCTCTCTCACATAGATGTTTCTCTCTCTGCCTCTCCCCCTCCCTTCCACTCCTTCTAAAAATCAATGGAAAAAAATATCCTCGGGTGAGGATTAACGAACAACAACAAAGAGATACTATTGTAGGAAAATATAGATTGGAAAGACATACTTGCTTGACTTCCTCAAAAAAAATTGTAAACAAACTTTTGACCCGTTACTTTGGGTTTTAAAATCTGGATACAGTAGATCATCAAGATAATTACTAATCATGGAGCTAAACCATCAAAGGAAATTTAAAAATTTAAAAATTAAGTATCTGGGGCCAGGAACACTGAATACAATTGAATACAATAACATCCTCCCTCAGCTGTTTAACGTTACACAGTTGACAATGACGTAGCTTCCACCTGATTTCAAGTTAAGCGTGTATGTGCCAGTGTATGTACACACACACACACCACAGTGAAAGCAGAGAAACAAAAGATAATTCAAAATCCATTTCATAAGCTCTGTGTGGGAGTTCTTCCTCCATAAATAGACGAGAACAGTTCTGCTTCTGGCAGTTATGTTTCCTTGGATAAAATTAACACATATGACATCTACTTGGGCACGGAGGTCTAATCAGAAAAGCCAAAATCTGTGTAGCGATATCGTTTGTCACCATCAGCCACACAAGAATATGTAACCTAAATGAAATATGAAATGGTAAAACGTTTTTAAAATGATACTTCTACTTGTATAACACAATGATAGATGAACCAATCTTGGACGGCAAGCAGTTAATTCTAACATATGTACTATATTTCTTAACGGAGTCTGGCATTTTAACTTCTTATACATGTAAATTGATTTTTCCGTGGGAAATGTCTGGCTCCCATTAAAAAGTATATACAAGGTGGGGAAAAGTAGGTTTACATTACCATCCATAATTACCTAAAAGATAAATCATAAGTAAGGATATGAATTAATAGCAACAATAAGACAGATACTACAAATAAATAATATAATAATCAAAAAATAAAATAAAGAATGAAGTCTGTTTCACCTACTCACAAATATAAACTGACTGTTGCCCACCCCTGTAGATAGAGAAATCAGTCTATTTCATGTTATTTTTAAATGTAAGTGAGATTAAAATAAAACTAATTTTTGCATATGCACACGTACACCTGTAAATGGAGTGGGGAATCATGCCTGCTGAGAATGAGACCCTGGACGGAGGTTAATAAAATTTGAAAAAGAATAACCAAAGAGACAAAAAAATGCAGTGACCCATCTGTTAACCGCGGATGCCATCCCACAGATCCAATACTATGTTTTAATCTTAAATTTTGAAATCCACAGGGCACTGCCCTGGATGTGGCCTCTCAGGTGCAGACTTTGTGAGTACAGCGCCCTCTGCTGTCCACTGGGCTGGCCTTTCCCTCATCAGTTCTTGCTCTCCGGACGCAAAATCAAACACTGAACTGTCAGACAGGGAACTGTTCTAACAACTTTTATAAAGCGGTGCATTTCTTAGTATACAATACTTAACTACCCTGAATGTGCAACTTTTCAGGCAAAGTCGGGATTCTTGGGTAAATATATTGCAATCTTTATTTTCAAATGCATGCATGCCCTTCTCCTCTTGTCAGAAGCAGCCTCACCTTTTTGGCTAGCTCCGACTGACTTAGCATTTTTTCGGCATCCTCTAGCCAGGCCTGCAGCCCAGCCACGGTGTCGCCATAGCGATCCCAGTTGGCGATGACCTCCTCCAGCATGCTCCGCACGCTGCGGACCTCCACCGACAGGTTCCGCCACTGCGCCGTGGTTTCATTCATGAATTTCATCACATTCTCGGCTTCTTCCACTGACACAGATAAAACACATGGCAATCTTTATTTTATTTTATTATTATTTTTTAATCCTCACCTGAGGCTATTTTCCATTGATTTTTAGAGAGAGTGAAAGATGTCTTGAGAGAAAGACATGGATTGGTTGCCTCCTGCATATGCCCTGACCAGGGCCGAGGCCAGGGAGGAGTCTGTAACTGAGGTACCTGCCCTGGAGCGGAATCGAACCCAGGACCCTTTGGTCCACAGGCTGATGCTCCCAGTGATGGAGAACCTATGACACGCGTGTCAGAGGCGACACGCGAACTCATTTTTTTGGTTGATTTTTCTTTGTTAAATGGCATTTAAATATATAAAATAAATATCAAAAATATAAGTCTTTGTTTTACTATGGTTGCAAATATCAAAAAATTTCTATAGGTGACATGGCACCAGAGTTAAGTTAGGGTTTTTCAAAATGCTGACACGCCAAGCTCAAAAGGTTCACCATCACTGCTCTATGCACTAAACCAAACTGGCTAGGGCACAATCTTTATTTTATATTTTAAATCTACCATATCTTTTTTCTAGAGTCTATTACACTGGTATGCATTTGTAATTCTTTAGAATTTCATTCAGTTATTGCTGAAAATATCTTATTCAAAGATTAAAGATGATAATATATTTAAATTCTTAATAAATGGGATGCAGTAAGTGACACATATATTTGTTCACATTTTATATGCACTCAAATAGATAGACACACATATAGTATCAATCACAAATGCTATAGTTCATTTTCAGCAAATATGACATGTTTACAAGTTGAAACAAGAATATTTTACAACTTAGGTCTTTGCACAAACTTAAGTTTTCATTTACTTTATTAAATATTCAAGTTAGTCCATTTTTTTGCTATTAATCCTCAGAATTGAAAATAGGTTGGAAAATTGGAATTTAGAAAATGAATGTTCATTTTGCTGTCCCTTAGATCACACATAGACGTGCGCGTGCGTGCATGGCGCGCACACACACACACACAACGATGCAGGTTAGGCATTATACAAAGTCAATGTTGCTGAATCCAATGTATGCTCTCTAGGCCAATGATATGATCACACAAAGATTCCACAAGAGAACAAAAAATTATTTCATATAGAAATCTGTATTTTTTTCTATAGAAATCTGTAGTTCCTAAATTTTCCTGTATTCTACACTGAAACAGATTCTGTCACGAGTTTTACCTGAACCATCGGCTTTGACGTACATCTCTGCTGTCTGTTTCAAGATCTGGTATGTCACTTCATATTGTTCAAAGAACTTGCTATTTTCTATAAAAGTCTAGAAAAGGAGGAATAGTTAAAAGATAACAAATACTGGCTTAGGTAGAAACGACAAACCCAACTCTCTTCAGTATGTGAATATGCTCCCCCAATTTACCAACCTCCTTCTTCCTAAAAATATCAAATCAATTCAACTGCCATAAATAACTTAATTATTCTGAGAATATGAAGTATTTCCACACTTTGAATTCTAACTCACCCCTAGACTGAGAAAATGTTCTATTTCCTCTCTACCCAAGCGTTTGTTTTTAGATGTTTCTCCAGGGGGCCTGAGGCTAACACTTAGAAAGCACTAAATTTAGAAGAACATCATCGAGTGTCCCACTGGGGTGTAACAGTGAAGTTCTGGTGCTTTTATAACTGTAATTCTGGTGAATGATTGCTCCAAGGAACTTCAGATTATAAATAAACGGCACACTGCACACTTCCCTTAAAAAAAAATAGGTACAAAAATGTTTACAAGTAGAAAAATGTTTAATAATCTCACATTCCACCCATGTTACCCATGATCTCTAATTTCTATTTCTTAGTATAAAAATTACAGATAAGGCATGCCTATGTCAGTGTGTAATTTACATATGTAATAGAGTTGCTATCAACCAATGGATACTATAAAATTGAGAACACACAACAAATCCTTAGGTAAGTTTTATAACAGTTAACTCCCATAAATATGAAATAGCTCCTGTTTCAAAGATTATTCCTACTTCTCCAAAGTAGGAAATTGATGTAATTATAGGTAACAACATATCACCAAAAGCTCTTTAAATTCTCTAAACAGCATAATTAGGTCGTATGATTGGAACTCACTGACATACTTGATGTCATTATAATAAAATGCAAAATTAGCCTTCAAAAACCAGCTGAAGTCCTCAATAGTAGGCTCATGGATGCTTAATATGAAGACGTAAAATGCTTGTGTGCAGATGCAAAACTACTCAGGCAGCAATGGCATAGACATCCCTAGATTTTATTGATAAACATTTATCATATTTCATCGTAACACTTAAAAATTACCTATATAATACGTTTCATATCATCTTATGTGTAAAAGCATTTACTTACATATTAACTGTTCTCCAGGGAAATGGTAAAGAGAGCAAGCTGTGGGTTGCTTGGAATGAGGGGTCCTATGATGACTACTTTATTCAATAATTTTAATAGGCTTCATTATTTTTGTGTGAGAATAAAGTAATTCCACCGTAGTCTGGTTGACTGGTTAGTCAGCCTGATGTGCTACATTTTTAACCTCTCCCTGCTCCCCAACTGGAGAAAAAGTAATTGACTGTAATTTATATTTTTAGTATCTTAATCAAATAAGCAAGTCATGATTTGATTTTTTTAAAGGAAAATTACACCTAATCTTCAAGACACTGTAAGAAATTGAAAAGATAAATATCTCTGGGAAAGTTTTAAAAACAGCCTTTAGTTTGGGCAAAAACTTCAAGAAGCTAATGGGAAAATTGTTCCAAGAGCCAAAGAAATGGGAAATCGTGCCTCTACTGGACAGAAAGATTTAATTAGGCTTTTGCTGGAGCAGTTTAGAAACAAATTGAAAATGAAGAAGAGAGAAAAGTTTTTTCTAGTTTTATTTCTGGTCAAAGGGGGGGGAGAAAAGGGAATGTTTTAAGAATATTATTAATACTGTAGGGTTTTATTAAAGTTTTTTTCAGCTTTCTCATGAGGAAAGCTAGAGGACAATGCTTTCTTTGTTATTTTACTTTTTAATTGTTCCATTTATCTTGATTCTTTTTTCTGGATATTTAGTAAATCCACTTAGTAATATGAATTATTTTGTCTGTTAGAATTACTTTAGCAGGAAGAGTGCCAAACTTTTTACCGTGAGCTATCTAGAGACAATCTCTCAGATTTTGCAAAAGTAAACACAAATGCATGTTTAAAATAACAGCGACAGGATTCCTTTATTTCTTTCAAAATAAGGTTTACATTTGGATGTCAAGTTGAACAAATAAGCCGCATTAGTCAGTAGACATTTAAAGAAAATTAAGATACCTCTTTGTGCCACTAAATTCAAAGTCTTAGTGGAGAAGACTGTATTTCTACTCTCACAAGATAAATATAGGTATAAGAAATAAAAGGCTCATCAATTTCACTCAAAGGGAGCTAAGGCAGATAATTTAAGATTTAAAAAAATCAATTCTGAGGTGTGGTTTCATCAGAATTGTCTATGTACATTAATAAAATAATCATAAACAATAAAATAAATGTTCATATTATTTATGTTGCATTCACACAGTCCAAAGTTCCAAGAGCTCTTTTTTTTATTTTATGCGAAAGAACAAAATGTTATCCTATTTTTCCCAGAGTAAAATTGAAGCATGTGTTAACCAACAGGGTCATATTAAGAACAATTCTGAGAGCAAGAACCAAATCGGTCATCTTCTGATTTTCGTTATAGTGTGTAATCTCTTATCAGTAGCCTAAATTATTCAACAAGCATTTGTGAAGTATTTTCCAGGAATATATTAAGTACTTACCAGCTGCAGGCCATGTACCTGGTACAAGAAGTAATAGAAAGCACATTCTCTAATTTTCTAACCTTTAAAAAAAAAGTATCTTTTTTTTAGATGGGTAAGATTGAATTGAGTCTGTTTCTGTTGTTTGTTCTTTTATTCTGTTCTTTAGATTCTGCATATAAGTGAAATCATGTGGTATTTGTCTTTCTCTGTCTGACTTATATTACTTAGCATAGTATCCGCTAAATCCATCCATGCCGTTGCAAATGGTCAGAGTTCATTCTTTCTTTTGGCCACGTGATATTCCATTGTGTATATGCACCACGACTTTTTATTCACTTGTGTATTGATGGGCACGTGGGTTGCTTCCATATCTTGGTTAATGTAAATAATGCAATGAACACTTATATGCAGAATCTAAAGAACAAAATATAAATGAACAAACAAAACAAAAACAGACTCAATAGAAAGTGATGGTTGCCAGAAAATAAGGTGGTTGGGAGACTGGGTGAAAAAAGTGAAGGGATTAAGAAGTACAAATTAGGCCCAACCAGCATGGCTCAGGGATTGAGCATTGACCTATGAACCAGGATGTCACGGTTCAATTCCCAGTCAGGGCACATGCCCAGATTGCGGGCTAGATCCCCGGTGTGGGGTGTGCCCAATTTAATTGAAAAATAAATTTTTAAAAGATTTAATTGAGAATTCAGACTAAGGCAAAGATAATTATGAAAATTTTACATCCTGAATATTATTTTGGTTATTAGGAGAAACTGCAGCATATGGTTCACTACAGTAAATTATTTTTAGAAAACAAGGAAAGGATTATATTTAAGAACCTGATTTCTAATTATATTGAGTCTTTATACTCTTTGAAATAGTCTGTTTTAAAGAGAGTGATTTTCCTCCAAAGTCCAAAAGGATAAGAGAATGTCTGTGGGGTGTCAGGTAGAAGTAAAACAGTGTGTGTCAGTCTTTGTTCCTTAGAAAATTCCTATTATTATTATTTTTATTATTATCATCATTATTAAACTAGAGGCCCGGTGCATGGATTCATGCACGGTGGCGTCCCTCAGCCTGGCATGTGCCCTCTTGCAATCCAGGACCCCTTGGGGGATTTTGGACTGCCGGTTTTGGCCTGATCCCCACAGGTCAGGCCAAGGGACCCCACCGGTGCACAAATCCGTGCACTGGGCCTCTAGTATGTATATAAGATCTTTGGTTAAACTCTTCCCACCCTTCTCCCCTCCCGCTACCCTCTGAGATTCATCAGTCAGTTCCATGTTTCCATGCCTTTGTGTTGAGTGTCTGCCCCCTCGTGGTCAGTGCGCATCATAGCAACCGGTCGAACGGTCAAACGGTCCCTTAGGCTTTTGTATATATAGATTTAGGAAAAAAGTGAGTCTTCTAGGATCAAGCTATTTATTAAGTGACATGGGTAGTAAGGAGCTGAGCCATGATTCAACACCTTTCTGCGTGACTGGTGGCCAAGCTTCCATAAGGTCCCCCATCTGACCTCACCCTGCCCTAAATCCATGTTGCCTATAACAGAAATAGTAGAAACTATCAGGTTACAGTATGAAAGTGGAAAATATTGTCAATATGGGACAATACTAAATGGAACTAATATTTATGTGAGTTACAATTCTTTAGTTCTTTCAGCTATACGAAATCATTTTGATGATTTGGTCTATTAAAGTTAAAAATTATTTTCTCACAATTTTGTTAGTAAAGTTTCCTGCTTAAGCACAAAGGCTTTTGAGTAGGAAAGAGATGGATTCAAATCCTGACTCCACTCCTTACCAGCTATGCCACCGGAGCATGTGACTTAAGTGTTCCGTCTTTGTTTCCTTGGGGAAACAAAACGAAAACCCTTGGCAAACGACAAATTTTCAATCTTCCAAAGTTATTCAAACTGTTAAAAAATACCGTAAAACCCTTTTTGGGAAATAAGTATGAGTGATAAATAGGCCTTTTTCACAGGGCATAAGAATATTAGGACATGTTCATTGAAACCTGCTATGTTTGTGGAGTAACTAGCAATTTTACAAATGACTGACTTAGGAAGCAGTTCAAAATGAGCTGTATGGTGAACTGTATGGACTGGCAGAAAATACTGCTTTTTTGAAATCATTGGTAACAACTCTCCACTCACAAACCTTTTCCTTGAGGAAATCAAAGAGAATTACTAACATCGTTGTGTTGAACGTTACCTGGTACAACACTCCTGTTAGGCCTTTCAATCTGACTGGTCATCCTTAAACAGCTGGAAAAAGACGAATCCTGAATAATTACCTACTGAGTTCAGAGTGTATCATTTATATGACTGAACCCAAATACATAAATACATATCTGTATTTAATATTTAAAAGTCTGAGGTAAGTACTTGCAGTTAAAAAATATAGATTTTGTTATTCCTTTTCAAAATAATTAAAAATGAATAAGGGAACATACAACAGAGTTCACATTTTGACAATTATTTCTGAGACAATAAATTAAATCAAAAGAAATATTTTACCACAAACCTGTTAAACCTTTTCCTCCCTAAATGCATGTTGTTCATTTATCACTTAGAAAATGAAATTGAAATGTAGCAAAATGTTTTATGGTTCTAGGATGCTTCTTCAATAAAGACATGGTTTCAACAAGTATCAGTCATGTCAATTACACAGTTACTGTGCAACTGGTAGGTAACATATGGGCCCACATTTTGAATTTATTAATTTATTATTTAGAATTTGTGATTAAACATCAATGGAACAAGTCAGAACTGAGTTCTATTAACATTTCTTTCGGGAGAAAAATTTGTATTTTTAATAAATTGGGGGGTGGGTGGGTGTTTAAGAGAAATAAGCTGCCTTCGATAATTATAATTCTCTAATTACATATAAATGGAAACTCCTAGTTATAGAACAACCTAATTCCTTCATTAGTACAGGACTACTATTCTATCTAAATAACCTAAAATATGAGGTAATCTTTACTGATAACCCAAAATATGAGATAACCCTTAAAAATTAAATTGGTACAGAGATTTACAAATTTTTACTTTTCCTGGGTGCGCACAAGAAGCACAAATGCTCAGGGAATAACCATAAAAAAGACATGCTGGACCTAATCTAAAAAAAAAAAAATTGTTTACAACAATTGAGAATTGTTCTCCAAGACTGGGTTTTAGAAGACAAGAAGATAACCTTTAAGTATGTTCACTCTGTTTCAATGGTGAGCTCACAAAGTCATGGGTATACAATGCAAAAACTTTTCTTTTTTAAGCAATAAAGTCAGTCACAATGGTTCAATATGGTTAATGCAGCAAAATCTTTTACATTTCTGAAGACTACAGGTGTCTATTTCAGATGGCAATGAACAGCTCACAAACTTCTATGGAGCCCCTTTAACACACTGAACCCTTCATGTTTCAACCCAAGATGAAGTTGTCAGCTGCACTGGCCGGGACTCAGTGCGGCACATCCCCGGCCCCCTGATCCCGCTACCCAAGCGCCGGGGCCACTTACGATGTAGTTCTGCAGCAGCAGCTCCACCGACTCTCTCCTCCCGTATTTGATGATCCAAGACTTCAGCTTCGACTCTGCAAGAACCAGCAGTGAGAGCAGACGGTACTTTAATTCTAGAAATTCCATTTTCATTAAGTGCAGTTCTGATGTGGAGGAAACGAAATGAAACCTAGAAATAAAACAAGGAGAATGCACAGGATGTAACTAAGTAACAGAGCGGGGCTTACTTAACCTGTCACAGTCCGGGAGGAACCTAACGCAGGCAGCGGGTCTCCTAAACTCTGGCTGATGGATCACTATCTGGAGATCAGGTTCCCTTTTCTGGCTCTGGGTTTAAAGGCGAATCGGGATTGAGGGAAGCCTTTGATACAGCTCTTTCCCCTGCCAGCCTCCCTCATCTGTTTCTTTTATACACTGTTCTTGCAATATTACATAATGTTCCTCACAGCCCTGAATAAAAATACAGCCTCTGAAGAAACCGGTTCTGTGAATTCCAGGCTCTGAACACAAGCAGGTTAACTCTTTAATTAATGATATGTTAGCATGCTGGCAGGCTTAAGCGTATGTTATGGGAGTCCAATTTTACTCTACCAAACGTAAGCCTTTCTGTACAAGAAAATGCAATGCAATAAAAAAAAGAAGAAGAAAAGAAAAGCGATGGAAAAAGCATTCACCGAGCATTTTACAAAGAGGCTTCCTCTAAGGCATCTGCTTACCTCTCGGCCATGTCCTCTAACTGGTCAGGTGGCACTGGGATCCCGTTGACCGACCGGGTCCGGTAGATTTCATGGAAGGCTCTTTTGTGGGCATCTGTGTTTTGAAGCAGATCCTGGGATATGATTTAAGAAAAAAATAATAAAAGAATGAGGCAACATGTTCACAGGAGGCTAAGAAGCATAATTTGCAGCCTGCACCGATGAGTCAACGTGTTCGACGATTTGATGCTGTTGCCACATCCACACGCGGCTCGGCGCCTGTCGCAGGCTTTTCCCTCGCACAGGAGCCCGTGCTGGTCGGCAAGGCCCCGGCCGGCGCTGCATCTAATGATCATGGCATCTTTTAAGCACACATGCCACTCGCACAGCAATGCATTCACACGTTTTAAAGGTACACGATCCAGAGGAAAATGGCATGATTGCCACACACAGTGATTTGGTGGCATTTTTCTCCTCCCCGGAATTTTTAGATATACTGGATTTTAAACGCTTCACGCTAAGCACAACTAACTTAACCCTTTAATGGCAAAAAATATTAGACGCTATGGTGTGTTTTTTTTTTTTTGCTGGATTTTAAACACTTCACGCTAAGCACAATTAACTTAACCCTTTAATGGCAAAAAAATACTAGACGCTATGGTTTTGTTTTTTTTTTTGAATGCACGCAAGCTATCATAAAGTGATATTTGCTTGCCATCTAAAGTAAGTTGACTCTATTACAACATTTTATGAAAATACCCTTATGGTTGGAAGATTTCAAGTAAGCACAGGGAACTTCCCGTAGATATCACATGTTAAGTTTAGAAGTATTCTTTGCAGACTGTATAGAACTCCATAATTTAAGTAATTTATTTAGATTAATTTGAACCTCCCTTGATTTGTTTTCTGAGGTTTTCACTGTCAACAGACTTATTTATATAAAGATTTACATGAATTTCACAATTTCTAGCCAATTGTAAAGCAAGACAGAGGTGAACAATTTCATGCCATATATTCTAGAGCCTAGTTTATTTCTCAATAGCAGAATAAATACTCAACAGCTTGTCACTCACTGTAAAGTAGGACACCTGAGTCCACCAGAGTGATATGTTTAAGTGAATATTGTTTCTCCCACACCAGGATTTAGTGGATTAATTGGAGAAAACAGAAGCAAAAAAAGAGCCTAAAGCCTTATGAGAAACACTTGATGGGAGGGAAGAATGAAAGGCTCTCAGGCTCTAAATTAAAATGTTCGAAGTCGTATGTGTTTGTTGACATACGTGACATTAATTTGGGGGGAGGATATTAATTTTTACATTGTAGAAAAAGCCAGGGGCAAACTATTTCTATCCCGACATACTGGTATTTGGCTGTATCTATGTTTTAACCTGCTTGGAGTCTGTAGGTAACTGCACAGATACTCACACATCTCTCTCGCCCAGAAAGAGGGCAGTACATGCGGCCAAGTTGGTCCAGAGGAGAGGGGACTGTCCCGGAGCAGCTACCGCTGGATTTCAGTCACTCCGTACCTCCCTTCTATGATCCAGACACATTTCTGTCAAATCAGTTTTATCATTTCTCTGTCTGAACTGATGAGAATTCCATTTCCCAGATACTCAGTCCCCAAATCAGTGTCATGTCTGACTCCCCTTCCTTCATAATCAATATCTAATGCTGAAAATTTTCTTTGCTCTGACCTAAAATTTTATTCAGAATCTGACCATTTCTCACCATCTCCACAACGACCACTCCGGTTCTGGTGACTCTATTTGGATTATTGAAACTGGTTACGTGGCTCCTACCCTTTAACCCAATCTATTCTCACACAGCAGCCAGGGTGATGCCATTTAAAAAGTGGTAATAATTGCCCTGGCTGGTGTGGCTCAACTGGTTGGGCATCATCCTGTGTACACCATGAGCTTGCCGGTTCAATGACTAATTGATGTTACACTCTCACATAGATCTCTCTCTCTCTCTCGCTCTCTCTCTCTCTCTTCCCTCTCTCTCCATTTCCCTTCCTCTCTTTCTAAAAATAAATAAACTATTAAAATATTTTTTTAATTGATAATATTATTCCTCTGGTAAGAAAGTGGATGGGTAAAGATGGCTAGGATATGACAGAGAAAACCAACAATGCCAAAAGTGCAATTCAGGAGAGTGAGAAGGTGCAAAGAAACAATATGGAGCAAGCATAGGGGCTTAACTGTGGGCACAGAAAAGATTACCAAAAAATAGAAGAGACAATTTTGAACAATTTTCTGACAATAATTTTGAAAAGTTAGTCAAATGGCACAAATTCTTAGAAAACATGAATGAGCAATATTGACCCAATTAAAAATTTGGAAGCCTGGATATTTCTAAAACCATTTTTAGAAGCTGGGAATACAAGAGAGAAAAAAACAAGCAATGAAGTTGCCCTTATGGAGTTGAGATAACAGTGTAGGAAATCAAGCAATAAATGAGGTAAATGATTAAAAGAGTAGTTAAAATGAAGAGGAGAGTGTAATTTCAAAGAGGTGGCCACGAAAGTGAGGACTGTACGGTAACATTTCTATAAAGGCCCGAAGGAGACAAAGAGGCACATCATGAGAATATCAGTGGGAGAACGTTTCAAGTCAAGGGGGAGAACATTCCAGAGTGACAGCAAGGGCAGAGGCCTTGAGGTGGGAATGTGTTTGCCTGTGTGATGTCATCTTTTCAGTGAGCTTCCACTGACGACCCTACTTAAAAATGCAACACCACTTAATACTCCCCGTGCTTTTGGCTTCTACTGGAACATTTATTTATTATGTTTTTTATTGTTTATCTTTCTCATCCCACTAGAACTTAAGTTACATAAAGGTAGGGCTTTTTGCCTATTTTGCTCATGGGTGTATCACAAACGCTTAGAACATTGCTTTGCACATAATAAATATTGTGGAAAGACTAGAAAGCCAGAGCCATAGGAAGAGAAAGAAAACTAGGAAACCAAATGAAGAAAGTGCGTCGAGGATAAAGGGGTAACTGTAAAATGATTCTGATAGTGATACCACTGGAATTAGCTAATCCTATCTAATAAAAGAGAAACATGGTAATTAGCCGTACATCCGCTACCCTTCCCATTGGCTAATCAGGGCAATATGCAAATTAACTGCCAGCCAAGATGGCGGCCGGCAGCCAGGCAGCTTGAAGCTAACACGAGGCTTGCTTGATCCAGTGACGGAGGAAACCAACGTTCCCCACCTGCCTTGCTGGCCTCTGAGCTTGCAGTTTGAAACATTGTTATAAATATAGAAGCTAAACAAACCCCCAGAAACCTGCTTTCAGCCAGCTGGGATCTCAGAGCTGGAGTTGATACAGTGTTTCGATTATAGAACCCAAACAAACCAGATACCTGCTTTCAGCAGCAGAGGCCTCAGAGGTGGAGCCAGAGCTAAAGCTGGCCCAGAATAAAAAGAAAAAGAAAAAAAGGAGTGGTTGGGAGCTTCAGTCACCCGCCAGCCTGAAAACAGCCCTCAGCCCCTCACCCAGACTGGCCATCCACCCCAGTGGGGACCCCCACCTTGATCCAGGACACCCTTCAGAGCAAACCAGGCAGCCCCCCCCCGTGCACCTCGGCCTCTATCCTATATAGTAAAAGGGTAATATGCCTCCCAGCACTGGGATCAGCGTGACAGGGGGCAGCGCCCAAACCCCCTGATTGCCCTGAGGCTCTGTGTGTGACAAGAGGCGGGGCCACAACCTCCCTATCCGCCCTGCTCTGTTTGTGACAGGGGAAGGCGCCCCAACCCCCTGATCAGCCCTGCTCTGTGACTGATAGGGGGGAGCTCCCCAACCCCCTGATCACCCTGTGGCTCTGTGTGTGACAGGGTGCGGTGACCCAACCCCCGCCCCCCACAGGCCCTGCTCTGTCTGTGACAGTGTAGAACCATAACCTCCCCATCAGTCCTGCCCTGAGTGTGACAGTGGCAGCACCCCAACCCCCTGATCGGCCCTGCTCTGTGTGTGACAGGGGGTGGTGCCCCAACTCCCCTATCAGCCCTACTCTGTGAGTGACAGGGGGGAGCTCCTCAATCCCCTGGTCAACCCTGCTCTGTGCATGACAGGGGGCGGCGCCCCCACTCCCCAATCGGCCCTGCTCTGAGCCTGACCAGGGGCTGCACCTAGGGATTGGGCCTGCCCTCTGCCACCCGGGAGCAGGCCTAAGCCAGCAGGGTGTTATCTCCCGAGGGGTCCCAGACTGCGAGAGGGCACAGGAGAGGCTGAGGGACCCCCCTCCCTCCCGAGTGCACAAATTTTTGTGCACCAGGCCTCTAGTTATTAATAATAGGAAAGAAGCAAAAGGAAGGCCAGATATTATAGGCATGTCATTTGGGGCAGCTTCACTGGGAAGTTTCAATTTCACACTCCCCATGGGATACTGGCCTCATCCCTGCAAAACACTAGGGGAAGAAATCCAACAAAGAGAAGACAGACACATGCCCAGTAAAGTTGGGGTGACATAGAAAAGGTATTTGCCTGTCAATCACATCTAGGGACAGAGATGGTTGACCAGAATGGGTGTGGCCACTGCAAGTTCATCAACATTTGGAGATATATATCTATATCTCTATACCTCTATCTATATCTCTATCTATATCTCTGTCTATATCTCTATCTATATCTCTATCTCTATCTAAAAGGAATTCTATCTCTTGTTGCTTTTGTTGGGCGGGTGGGCCTTCCCTCGGAGCACAGATGGTCCACCCATAGTAACAGAAGTGAGGACGGAGATTCAAGCACAGATGCACGTAGGTGGGATGCTGTGGCCGTGGGAGCTTGCGGAAATTCTTTTTTGATTGCTTCTATTTTCCCAGAGAAATAGGAAGCCCTGTCAGCAGCTAAGAGTAAGGAGGGGGGAAGAGGTGTGGAAGGTCTGAGGAGACAAGGTATGAAATAGTTGTCCCAGGAACTGAGAGGAAATGGAGTCAGGAGAAGCCTTTGGAGTGCCAGGCAGCCTGAAGGGCCCACCTGGGTTAGTCATCGCGCCCGGGGTGATTTTCTGAGCCACAGTCAGCTGCATGTGTGTGGGCGGGAGCTAGGCAGAGCGTGGGCCTTCACCAGGGCTGTGCTTTCACCAGGGGAGTGGGACAAAGTGAGGCCTGGATGAGGTGGGCAGCGTGTGTACAAGGGGTGATCTGAATGACTGAGAACTGAATTTAAGAGAGTACAAAGGGACCTAATTGATGGCACGGGGAGGATGCGGGCAGTGAAATGGCAGTAGGATAGGGCACAGAGGAAATGAAGACTTGGGATTGGGGCGACTTTGCGTGGATGGTGAGATGCTGAGGCAAGGCACATAACCTTTTTCTGCCAAAACTTTACTTACCTGCAAAATGAGAATAATCATACCTATTTCATATCCCCAATGTCAAGTGCTTAGCAAAATTAAGTACTTAGGACTGAAAGATGGCTAAATCCTCAAGTGTAATTAGCTATGATTATTGTTGTTAGCTTTCTAGATAACTGAGTATTAGGGCATCTGAAAAACAGAAAAGATTATAGATTCTATAGTATGTAGAATAAGCATGTTTCTACATACATGTAAGTTAATTTAAAAAAATAATTAAAAAAACATTGGTCAAAACATAAAATGAACTCTTGATAAAATATATTTGTCTGAATTCAATTTTCAAAGACTGCTTATATATTAAGTAATGAAAGGTTGTCATGTGTTACATTAAAAAATGTGATGAATGTATAAAATCAAGAATTCTAGATCTTGAGGACATATTTAAGTTTTCATGGCATGAGCCGTAATTACTTTGGGACTGGGATGCGAAGATAATATTCTCAAACATTCTTGCTGACATATTGATGAGTCCTCTATTGTGCTTTTCTCAATTTACTGCATTTTCAAGTGAGCCCAATATAGCAGAGCAGAGCACTGGTAACAAATTGATGAACTGATTTTTCTGCTTTTGAGAAAAGTCTACAATTTTAGTTTTCCTAACCATGATTCACATTTCTCACATCACCAAAGCTTAGCTTACTATAGGCACCCAATAAATATATTTTGAATGAATGAAAATTTACCTTATAATTGACAATTACATTGCTTTATGACTCTACGACTTCAAATACCTATGCCCAGATCTAGTATGGGTTCCTACCTCAGTAAAAAGATCATTCTGGAAACTTGCCTGGAACTTCATCTTAATTTAGCCCCTACCTGCTTCTGCTCACTTCCTATTGTCTTCTCATCCGGTTCCCTAGCTTTCAGTCTAATCCTGTCTGGTTTTCAGTCTCAGATAACCATCATCTCTGATTCCTGCCCTTCCCCTCCTCCCCACTCCAGTTCACTTCTGGTTTTCATAGTTGTTTACTGCTCTTTGGCAGAGAGATGCTTCCGGCTGCACACTTAGTGGTTGGCACAGGGTCTCTTTCTCTCCAGGGAGCCAGAAGAGACAGGAAGAACCTCAAATCCTATAATCACTGAGAAGACTAACAGCATACATCCAATTTAAATCCATTCCCCATCAGGGGCAGATGCCGCCTAGAGTATACTCTGAATTAAGATTTCTGCTACATCTCTCATGCTAGTAACAGCATAGTTAATATTGTAGGGCATTTTCTCTTTGGTGGAGCATTTCAATTAGATGTAAGTCTTTTAATGAACCACAAACACATGCTGTTTCTCAAACCTCTGGATTGGAGGCACCTTCACCAGTCTCCCTGGTGCACATTAGCTGAATTGACACATTTATCCGCAATCAATATGCATTCTACACTTACTGGTACAACCCTATGGGACTCCTTTTGTATGAAATATTCACATTGGTTAAGCATTGTTTTCATTGTTACAGGACTTACGTGAAAACAATTCTGGAATTGTCTTTAGGGTGAACTGCTAATTGCTTAAAGTGGTGTTATTAGTGTAACATTGCTTTAGCATTTCCCCCTATTTTTAATATTCTGGGAATCTCAACATGGACGCGAGCCAGGCTTTTCTGGAAGCCAAAATCCAATGAATAACAGTGTAACCAGGTGGGGAAACAACCGCAGCCTGCCTCCACCCGAATGCAATGGCGTGGAGCTAGGCAGGTGGCAGTAGAGACTGATCCCATTAATGGGCCCACTCCGAATACGCACGGCGCAATCCTTTATTCCATTCATCTTATTCTACAGTGAGTTTCAGTTTGGCACTAACGTCATTTTTTGGTGGATATTTTTGTTGTTATGTGACATCTACAAAATCATGACTTCTATAAAAGCAACAACTAAATTTTGTGTTCCGGGTTATTTATAAGACTCTGAGTTCTGGAAAAGTCACGAAGTCTCGGAGCTGTATACACAGTGCGACATCTCTGAATCAGCAGGACTGGACGCCCGGGAAGCCCGGTCAGTGTGAGTTCTAAACGGGCCACATCTCCACACCACATTATGCTGGAAGGTCTCCTGATCAGAGTTACCTTGTGCTGCTCACGCTTCCGCTGTATTGTGTTGGCGGTTTCCTCATGGACCTGCTGAATGGTTATTTCCTCCCGCAGGGCCACCTCTGCCCTGTACAACCAGGCACCTATAGTGCCCAGAGGCGCAGGGAGAGATTTATCCAGCTGTATATGCCAATCAAAGAGCTGAAATGCAAAAGAAGAAAGGCCGAATTATCTCCAATACAGAGGCAATTCCTAAAATTCCCCCAAATGATTTTAAAGCCTACATAAAGCTTTATGTTAATCATTTCAGGTTAACTTAATAAATATCAAGTCAGAAATTATCTGTGTTCAATCTGATGCTTTGAGGATGGGGAGGAAATTGCAGTACAAGGACTGGGGTGCGGACATGCTCAGGGATGCAGGAATTTATGTACCAGCTCATGTGGATCACCCCACATGCCAGGAACCAGAAAAACCAGGGTCATCTAGACATCTCTGGAGGCAGACAAGTGTTCAGGATTCTTTTTATAATTATACAATTCTGAACCATGTCTGCATGTCTTCCACTTCAGTCAGTTCTCAAACACCTTTTTCCAGCTTGATGGAATGCCAGGTAGAATGGGGTAAGGTACTCGGAAACTAAGCCAGTATTTGATGAAACTTATGGGAAAAATAGATTATAGAAACAAAGAAAATAGGGAAGTTCAAGGCAAATAGCCCCCTTAGTGATAGAAATGTCACAGGTTTTGAAATCTTGGTCTTTAAGTTTGCAAAAGTTACTGAGCAATTTTCCTTCATGTTCATGAAAGACCAGATAAGAAGATAGGTTAAAGAATATAAAAATGAATGTGAATATGGGGAGATTATTAAATGTAGCTGAA